TCAGCGGTTGCCAGAGGTCGGGGAGGAGGGGGGAGGGGATGAACAGGCAGAATGGATTTTTAGGGCAGTGAAACTATTCCATGTGATACTATAATGGTGGATACATGTCATCATACATTTGTCCTAACCCATACCATGTATGACACCAAGAGTGAGCCCTAATGTGAACAATGGACTCTGGGTCATAAATAATGTGTTGATGTACGTTCAGGGATTGACAAATGTCCCTCTCTGGTGGGTAGTGGGGGAGGCCTCCTCTGCGTGTGGGGAGAGGAATATACTGGATCTGCACTTCCTGCTCAATTTCACCATGAACCTCAAACTGCTCTTTAAAAAACGATCTACTTAAAAAAAACTAACAATCGGGACGCCTGGGTGGCTCAGTCGCTAAGCGTCTGCCTTCAGCTCGGGTCATGATCCCAGGGTCTTGGGATCGAGTCCCACATCGGGCTCCTTGCTCATTGAGGAGCCGGCTTCTCCCTCTCCCTCTACTGCTCCCCCTGCTTGTGCTCTCTCTCTGACAAATAAATAAATAAAAATCTTTTAAAAAAAAAGTGCTTTCTCTTAAAAAAAAAAAACCTAACAATCAAACTGACGGTAAAATAAAGATTTTTGCTGACCCACAATCTATGTGCGTGTGCGCACACTCCTGCGTGTTTGTGTGCGTGTGTGTGTGTGTTGGCACACCAGGCTGGAAAATCAACAGCCACTGAGGGTCAGGCATTTGATCTTCATTAGCAAGCTAAAACTGTTTCAAAACTCCAAAGGGGCATTTGCCTATAGATTGAAGGTGGCCTCTCTGCATCTCGCCTCCTTTTCTCCAAAGGCTCCAACAGGCCAAAATTATAGCAAAAATCATTATTTACAGAGCCTTGTGCTTGCTTCCAATACCCCCACTGACTGCAAAAACAAGAGTGTCACACGCACGCATACACAAGCACACCCCTTGTTTTTGCGGTAGCTCTCCCTGATCCGGATGATCTCTCTAGTGTATATTACAAGCATACAACATTTTATTGTTTTGTATTCTTTCACGAGATGGTGTGTTGGGTGCAGGCACAAGGGGAGACGGAGGAGAGGCTCGGGAAATCGGTTTATTACACTCAGGGGTCCGGGAGACAGGAGGGGTGCCACGCAGAGCCCCATGGGAAAGACAGCGTGGCCAGGAGGCAGGAGGCAGGACCTAGGGGTAGGTTTAAGCCACGGCCTTTATTGGGGTTCCTCTGGAAAGGCAGGGCAGGGTGAACCATTTAGGACTGGTCAGTGTGTGTGATTTCAGTAGGGGTGGTCCCTAGTTGCGTGGCACCTGGCCCTTGGGCGATGAGGCTGAGGAATAGTGCCTGGAGCCGGTTGGAGGAAGTCTGGCTCTGGATTGGTTCGTTTGCGTATCAAAGGCATTCTCAGGCTGGGTTCTTTGCTGTCTCTAAGAACTGGCTAGGAGGCACCATCTCGCCCCAGCCAAAAAGGTCTTTTTTTTTTTTAGATTTATTTATTTGAGAGGGAGAGAGATCATGAGCAGTGGGGAAGGGTAGAGGGAGAAGCAGGCTCCCCACTGAGCAGGGAGCCTGACATGGGGCTCGATCCCAGGACGCTGGGATCAGGACCTGAGCCGAAGGCAGAGGCCTACGGTTAGGTCTGGGTGACCAAGTCACCCAGGCACCCCAAAAAGGCCTTTTAAGCTCTCAAAATGCCATAGTATATAGAAAACAAACCAACGTGTGTGTGTGTGTGTGTGTGTGTGTGTGTGTTTGTGTGTATAATCTCAGGACTACCCCATGCTCAGATATTTGCCAGAAGGACTCATGAAACTCAGTACATAGTTGTACTCACCCCGGAGTACAGTGGTGCGGTTGTATGCACAGCTGGATCATAAGGTAAAAAGATACAGACACTGGAGGGTTACGTGCAGGTTCCTTGGGTCCTCTCCCTCCCCCGATGGATCACGCAGAGTGTAGTCTTGACCCAGCAACAAAAATGTAGCAGCAGGTGTGTGATGCCCAGGGGAGCTCATCACAGACTCAGCACCCCAGGGTTTCACTGGGGGGTTAGTCCTAGAGACACCTTCTTTCTGCCTGGCTTGTACCAAAATCCCAGGCTCCCAGAATGACAGCAAGTGTTCAGCATAAACCATACTGTTTGTACAAATAGTCTAAGCGCCAAGAGCCACCCTTATCAGTTAGGTAATGGTGGGAACACTTCCAAAATTCAAGTTCCCAGATGCCAGCTAAGGGCCAACTTTGCAAACAGGCCTTTTTTTTTTTTTTTAAAGATTTTATTTATTTGACACGGAGAGAGAGAGAGCACAAGCAGGGGGAGCGGCAGGCAGAGGGAGAGGGAGAAGCAGGCTCCCCACTGAGCAGAGAGCCCGACATGGGGCTCGATCCCAGACCCTAGGATCATGACCTGAGCCGAAGGCAGATGCTCAACTGATTGAGCCACCCAGCAAAGCAAACAGGTCTTCCTTTCTTCCCTCCTTCCCTCCCTCCCTCCCTCCCTCCTTCCTTCCTTCCTTCCTTCCTTCCCTCCCTCCTTCCTTCCTTCCTTCCCTCCCTCCTTCCTTCCTTCCTTCCTTCCCTCCTTCCCTCCCTCCCTCCTTCCTTCCTTCCTGTCGTTCTTTCTTTCTAAGAGAGAGAGGTGGGAAGAGGGGAGGGGAAGAGAGAGAATCTTAAGCAGGCTCCATGCCCAGCACAGTGCTCGATCTCATGACCCTGGGATCATGACCTGAGCCAAAATAAAGAGTCGGACGCTTAACCGACTGAGCCACCCAGTCGCCTTGCCAACAGGCCTTTCTAAGGCAAGGCCAGCTAGCTCAGACCTTTGGGGCAGTTATTGAATTGACATGACCATCATGATTTGGATGGTTGTATTGTGGTTATGCAGGAGGATGTCCCCAGATGTAGAAAATACACACAAAAGAATTTTGCAGTGATGCTGAAAATGTACTATTTGTTTCAGGGGGAAGAGGCTTTGTGACATACCTATAACTTCTCTGTTACATTTAAGATTGTTTCAAAATAAAAAAGTATTAAAAAAAACAATATGGAAGAGGGGAGAATCGATGGGGATGTGGGCTGAAGACTGGCCATAATCTGATAAAATTGGTGCTGGGGAGTAGATACATCGTTAGAATACTCTTCTCTCTGCTTCTGTATATATTTCAAATTCTCTGTAACAAAATAAAACAAACAAAAACCCTGTCAGCAAAGATGCCTTGGAAATGTGGTTCTTTCTAGAAGGGGAGGGAAGTTGCATTGGAGGATACTATGTATTTGTCTTCTTGTGTCTCTTGTATACAGAGAAGCAAAATAAATACAAAATCACCATGACCAGAGATCACCATTGCACTAACCCTGTAACACTGTAGTTAATATTCTTTTTTTATTTTAAGTAAGCTCCACGTCCAACATGGGGCTTGAACTCACGACCCTGAGATCAAGAGTCACATGCTCTACAGACTGAGCCAGCCAGGCGCCCCTATAGGTAATATTCTTATTCTTCTGAATATATATATATACATATCTATGCACACACCCAGAAGGTAATCCAGGATATAAATAATTGTATGTACACGTGTGTGTATAAAGTGGTATCATTAACTTTGGCACACGCACACACACACACACACATACAACATGTGCCAAAATTAAATTATATGGCTGCTTTTTTTTTTTAAGGCAGTGGTCTCCATCTTTCCCTTCCTAGATGTTTCCCATATTCCTCATATCCAAATTCCCCCAGTTGACTCAAAAATACCATCTAGAGCTGAACTGTCCAAACCAGTATCTACTCAAGGCCCACACACTCCATCTGGTCATGACTCTTATGTCTGTTTCAACCTGTCACAATCCCTTTTTTAAGAAACTGGCAAAACATGCCACCTCTGGGTGTGTTTGGCTCCTTCTCTGCTGGGGTTTCCCTTCTATGGCAAGAAAGGGGCGGAAGGCCTGACCCCTCCAATGAGCAGTTCATCCTGGGATACAGCAAAGGCAATGGCACATTTCAGGTGCATCACATCAGAAGACCTAGAACATCTAGGGGCACCTGGTTGGCTCCATCAGTACAGTGTGCGACTCTTGATCTCAGGGTTGTGAGTTAAGCCCCACACTGGGTGTAAAGATTACTTAAAAATAAAATCTTTAAAAAAAAAAAAAAGATGACCTAGAACATTTCACTGACCCACCAGCCATGAGTTAGCCATGACCCTGGACTGGCATGAGGACAGCCTGATCCTGGCTCCCATCTAGAAATTCACAAGTGTGGTGCCACCCTGATGCTGTACCCACACCCACTGTCCCTTCTATTGGGTGTTTTCTTCTGTAGTTTCCTTTCCCCCGCTGGGACAATTTGTTGCGTTCAAACCAAGTAGTAACCAAGACAGTAAAGTTATATTTCCTACTTCAAAGATCTGAGGCACTTTTGGCAAAATAACAAATTTATTACATATGATCGGCAGATAGTTGTTGCTGATATATTATTCTTTCGATGTTTGCACAAAATTTCAAAATAAAAACTAATTTTATACACCATACAATCACAGGGGTTCCTTGAGGGTCTCCACACATTTTCTGAACTGGCTGACTTTCAGCCGTGAGACCTGGTTCCCAGCCTTGAAGCTGCAGGGGGTTAAGTTTGCCACCCAAGGTGGCTGGAATTTTCCCAGCTATAAGGACAAGGTTCTACTTCAGAGATGAGCGGCCTTCTCTAAAGAGACTGATAAAGCCCCCTGAAAGCAGAAAGGAGAGGAGACAGGCCAGATGGGACTGGGGCTGAATCAGAGGGCCTCCGGAGGGAGGACTGCCCTATAACAGTGATAGGTAACTTTGAAGTAAGAACTTTCTTCTAGTAGTTTCTAGAACCTGAAGAGGGGGCCTGGCAGAACCCTCGAAGGGATCCTGGAGTACCCAGGATGCCAGGGAGGCACATGCCCTTGGCTAATGAGAAGTTCTGGCCAGTGGTCCCCAGTCCTGGAAGGCACTGGTCAGGTTGTTGGGCAAGGACAGCCCTCAACTAAGACAACCGGGCCCGCACGACCACACTGGAGTTGGTCACACGGGCTCCATAGTGACCAGCCCAGAACTGTGTGTCCTGGCCCCAGTGTTCGAAAGACACAAAGCGGACGCCCATCTTGATGTTGGAGAACACGTGGGTGACCTGTAGGTAGAGAAGAGATCAGGCAGGTTGTGCCCCAGCCTTCTTCTTGAAAGCTGAGGCTGGGGCCTTCTGGCTCAGTGGAATCACATGGTTCCTCATCCTAATTCCTGTCTCCTTGAGTCTGGGTGGGTGGGTTTTGTTCGTAACCAGGAGCATTGCGGAAGTGATGCTGAGTGACTTCCGCCAAGTGACTTCCAAAGCTAAGTCAGAAAAGGCAATGCAACTTCTTTGGGTTTCTCTAGAACCTTCCTGGTGGAATCCTGAGCCACTAGTAAGTTGAGTCTGGCTGCCCCGAGGTGGCCATGATTCAAGGAAATCCAAACCAGCCCTCACAGAGAGATCCCATACTGAAGCTCTGGGACTAAATGAAGCCACCAGCTGCTATATGCACACGTACACACGTACACACATGTACACAAACACACACACCCACACACCCCACCCAGCTCTTCAGCTCCAGCCATTGTCTGAAAGCAACTACCCGAGAGACAGGAACCAGAAGCATCCCCAGCAGAGCCCTCCTTATAGAAACCCAAGAGGTAACAGATAATGTTCCCAGGCCCCACCACCCCTCTCCCCGTGTCCCTGCCAGAGACTCACCTGAAAGCAGACATTGTTGTTCCACTGCTGGATGGGGACAGGCATAGCAGAGAATTTATCCAGGACAGTCTGGTTGGCATCTAGAAGTTGGACAAGGAGTCGGTACATACAGCCACTGTCGTGTCGGGCTCCCCACCTGCAGGAGGAGGGAGGCCTTGAAGGCTGGATATGCCCACCTCATCTCTTTGGGTGTCTGCCTGCCTCCCCCCCAGAATGGCCTCCCTGTGTCTGCAAATCCAAAACATAGTCCTCGGCTCAGCACAACCTGTGTCACCTGGGAGCTTGGCCCCACTGCAGACCCAGTGACTCAGAATCTGTATTAAACGAGGTCCCCAGCTGGTCTGCAAGCACATGCATTCTCGAAGCAGTGACCCAGAGCAGCCACCCTTCAAGGCACCTCCTCCAGTATTATTCAGGTGACAATGGAAATTGCTCAATGTTTAAACGGTGGCAAAAGATGTAATTTCCAATGGGTACATTGACATTTTAAAATACAACTTTCAGTCATTGAAAAGGACCACGGGGGGAGCGCCTGGCTGGCTTAGTCGGTGGAGCATTAGAGTCCCACATGGGTAGAGAGATTACTTAAAAATAAAATCTTTAAAAAATAAAATAAAAGGACCACAGGAATCTATATTTAGTCATGATGGGATTGCTGGGTAGCAATATATTTTTTAAAGATTTTATTTATTTAATTGACAGAGAGAGAGAGACAGAGAGAGAGAGGGAACACAAGCAGGGGGATTGGGAGAGGGAGAAGCAGGCTTCCTGCCGAGCAGGGAGCCTGATGCAGGGCTCGAGCCCAGGACCCTGGGACCATGACCTGAGCCGAAGGCAGTCACTTAACCAACTGAGCCACCCAGGTGACCCGGGATACCCAGCAATATTAAAAACAAAACAAAACACAACAACATCCAATTGTCCATCGATGGTAAATGGATAAATTAAGGTATATGCACATAATAGAATAGTACACAGCAATGAAAGCAAACTCACTGCAGTTACACACAATGAGGAATCAATTTACAAACATGCAGTTCATAAGCTAGAAACAAAACATATACCGTGGGACTCATTCTCTCTCTCAAGTACAAAAATGGACAGAACTTGGGGCGCCTGGGTGGCTCAGTTGGTTAAGCATCTGCCTTCAGCCCAGTTCATGATCCCGGGGTCCTGGGATTGAGCCCCACATCGGGCTCCTTGCTCAGTGGGGTGCCTGCTTCTCCCTCTCCCTCTGCCTCTCCCCCTGCTTGTGCTCTCTCTCTCTGTCAAATAAATAATCTTAAAAAAAAAATGGACAGAACTTATCTATGGTAACAGAATTCAGGATGGCGGCTACCCTGGATGGGTAATGATGGGAAAGGAGCTGGTAACACGGATGTGTTCACTCTGTGATAATTCAGAGTCACATACCTAAAATATGTACACTTTAAATAAATAAATAAATAAATACATAAATAAAATATGTAAACTTAAAAAATGTACACTTTTGATGCTAGAAGTTAAAAGTTTAACTCAAGGGTAACAGGCTGTAAAAATACACAAATAAGTTTCTTCTTTCTGAGACTTCTCATCATTCTACTTCTTAGAATTAGATGTCTGCTCTACTTCTCCTGCACAATTCTGTCCTCATGTAATAGTGACATATTCTTATTTTCTTCTGACCAGTCAAAAGACCGTCCCTCCATACTGCGCTCTGCCAACCACACACCAAAATATACGTATATGAACAGAAATTAAAATTTTTTTCTGTGACCATAAAGATCTAAGTGTTCACATTTTTCCTTTGGGATTGAATTATTACCCAGAAGCGGTTCCCAGACTTGGCTGCAGATTGGAATCATCTGGAATTTATTTATTTATTTATTTGACAGGACAGAGATAGCAAGAGCAGGAACACAAGCAGGGGGAGTGGGAGAGGGAGAAGCAGGCTTCCCAGTGAGCAGGGAGCCCGATGCGGGGCTTGATCCCAGGACCCTTGGATCATGACCTGAGCTGAAGGCAGATGCTTAATGACTGAGCCACCCAGGCGCCCCTGGAATCATCTGGGATGTTGACAAGGTATTATATAGCAAAGAATTTAGCCTTGTCCGGAGGTATGGCGGGGCTTTGCTCTCAGCTTCTGGGAGGTTCTTTCTGGATCCTTGGAATATTATGGCTGCCGGAAGTATCTTTGTTTGCCTGGGGACCTTGGGTCATACCGGATAGCCTACCAATGGGATTACAGTGGTTGGTGGCCACATCCACACAGACAGTCTCACCGTGGGGGCTAGCCACTCCAGAAAGACCCAACAATGTGGCTTAGGGTATGTCAGGTGGTATCAGTTGACCAGGAGGCCGAGATTAACCACGGGATGAAACCCCAGTAGAAATTCTGGGCAATGAAGCTCAGGTGCACTTCCCCGGTCGGCAATATTCCATGCATATTGTCACATGGCTGCCAGGGCAGGATTGCATCCTGACTCCATGGCAAGAGAGCAACAGAAGCTCTGTGTTTGGTACTTTTGTGTTTTGATGCTGCCCTAGCTCTTCTTCCGTTGTCTCATTTTTGATTTGTTATGTTTTCCTTGTAATAAACTGTAATCATGTAATCGTTCAGTGAGTTCTATGAGTCTTCCCAGTGAATTATGGAAGGTGAGGGTGGTTTTGCGAATCCCCCAAACTTACAGCTGGTGTCGATTTGAGGTTGGTCTTGGGGACTGTGCCCGCTAACTTTGCAGTCAGCTCTAAACTTCTCAGATACTGAGACTCAGCTCTCACCCACAGGCACTCTGATTTAACTGGGGTGGGGTGTGACCTGGGCGTTGGGAGTTTTCAGTGTTCTTGCATAATGGACAGTAAAATTTTGGAACCACTAATTGTTACGATCAAAGGGCACACCGCTGACCAAAATAACACAAATATGTTACAACAGTTTGATAACATAATGACTAAATTAAAAACAATTTTATTGTAAAACACATCTCCTAATGAGATGGATTTGCAGAGTGGGGGTAAGTTAGGGTGTCTTTAGTTATAAGTGAATTTGGGAGTGCCTGGGTAGCTCAGTTGGTTAAGCGTCTGACTCTTGATTTCGGCTCAGGTCATGATCTCAGGGTTGTGGGATTGAGCTCCACGTCCGGCTCTGTGCTCAGCTGGGAGTCTGCTTGGGGGTCTCTCCTCCCTCCCCCCTGCCTCTCTCAAATAAATAAATAAATCTAAAAAAAAAAGTGAACTTGGGGGCACCTGGCTGGCTCAGTCAGTAGAGCACACAACTCTTAATCTCAGGGTCTTGAGTTCAAGCCCCACGTTGGGCATGGAGCCTACTTAAAAACAAAACAAAAAACCGAAGTAAAAGTGAATTTGGTAAGGCTGAAATTTCAAGCAGTCACTTTGCCTAACTCTCTGGTAGTTTTTACATCTGGGGGGGGCCACACACCATAGTGAGGGGCTTGCTTTTTCTGTAAGACTTGAGGACTCTGAGAAAGGGACTGGACAAGAACAAACCATATGATGTTACCACCAGAGATATGATATGTAGCTGGTAATTTTAGGACTAGGGAACACAGCTGTAGAGGATCTGGAATTGCCTCCTTTGAAATGATCTGGGTCACATATCCCTTGGAAAGTCTTCGTGTACACATACCCTAGTTTCAAGACCATCACTACAGAGCGTAAGCTCTACAGAGGAGTCTGAGCCTAATTTCAGGTCTCCCCAATCCCTAGCTGTGCCACCAGAGCAAATCTCCTCCCCTTTCTGAACCTCTCGATTGCAACCAAAGCTCTGAAAAATCTGAGGTCTTGAAATATACATTCTCAGAGGATCAAGGCTCAGAAAAACAAAAACAAAAAACAAAACCCGAAAAAACACAACTAAAACACTTCCCCCTTATAAAGCACTGGCTATGTGTTTGACATGTAACCCTATCTTGTAAAGATGGGGAAACCGAGGCACACTGGGACTTGCCCAAAGCCATGAAGATGCAGAGCCAGAAACGTGGAAAAGTCTGGCTCCAGACTTTTTCAACTTAGGCAACTATCCTACACTGCGACCTCCTAAGGCAAGGAGCATGTCATTCACAGACAGGACTGAGCTGGGTCAAGTCCTTCTGTAACTGGATCCAATCTGGCATCGTGCAATCCGGCTCCATTTGGGGGTGAGGAAAGGGGCTCAATGGTTAAGTCATTCATCTCCCTGAGCTGCATCTCTTTATCTGTAAGGGATTGTTAGAGGCAGCCTCAATGAAGTCACCCACGCAATGGTCATGGCGCCTGTGCTCAGTGCTGAGCAAAGGGCTGTTTTTGTCATCATACTCACCAATCAGAGACACAAATCTCAATCTTGCCACTATCTAGCAGCTCTGGCCACAAACCCTCCTCCTCCAGGTCCAACACCTGCTTTTTGCGACACCAGCTAGGAAAGAGGGAGAAAGGTCAATGAGAACGGGCAGGTCTTCCTCACAACGGGCCCGGCCCTTGCGGGGTAGGACATTCACCTGAAAGAAGACACGAAGCAGGTCTGCGAGGGGGCCCCGGGCACCGTTGACCTGTTTCCCTCCACCACCCAGCCGTCCCCACCGTGCTGCACCATCCATTTCCGGAGGCCTTCTGTCAAATACAAGAGGCTTGCGCCCAAGTTCCTCGCCCGCCCACCCGCGGGCCGCCACCTCCCACCGGCTCCGATGAAGCCCCGCCCCCGGCCCCGCCCCCCGGCCCCGCGCTTCCCCACCCTGGCCGCAGGGGTTGCGGATGAGGTTGCGTCCGATCGGTCGGCGCTCGCAGAAGCGGCCCAGGAGGCTGGGCCTGCCGTCGCGGGCTGGGGGCAGGCAGCTGCGGGCGAGCGGCAGCAGGACGCCGTGGTCCCGGGCCAGGATGAGCAGCCACAGGGCCTGGCAGTCCACCAGGGCGCGCCAGCCCCGGCACACCCGGCGGCAGCACCCCAGCAGGGTGCGCGGGGGCACGTGGCTCAGCACCACCAGGAGCAGCTCCGGTGGCAGTTGGCTCAGGTCCAGCGCCTCCTCGGGTTCGGGCTCCGGCGCGGGGACCCGGGCGGGCCGGCCCCGGGAGGCCGAGGCACCCATGGTCCCCGCCGACCCCCCGCCAGCCCGCGCCAGGTTCGGTGGTGACTGCGGGAGAGTAAGGTCAAGGAGTCAGGGGCATGCAGCCTCCGCGGCGCGCGCGCAGCTGCCGCCGGCCCCGCCCCGGCTCCGGCTCCGGCTCCAGCCCCGGCTCCGGCCCCGGCCCCGCCCCGGCTCCGGCCCCGGGTCCCAAGCCCCCAGCTTCCCAACCCGTCTGGCCCTGCAACAGATCCAGCCCGCCCCGCGCACCCGGCCCTGAGCGCTCCCGCCGGGGCCGGCCAACCCCCCGAGTCCTACCTTGGATCAGAGCCAGGGCCCCTCGCCGGCGGGCTCTCTTCTGTCCCCTTGCGTCCCCCTCCCAGCGTCCATCCTTTTACTCGTCAGGCCCTCCCTTTTTAACAGCCAGCATTTCCCAGCCCCTACCCCAACCTCCCTCTGATCGGCCGGTCTCTGCGCTCTCTTCCCTCTGGCTGCCCAGCGGCCCCACCCCGGCCCCCAGCCAGCCCCTTCCCGCACCATCCGTCCTCGCCAGACGCCCTCCTTCCCAGGTATTCCCACAGTGGGGGGTGTGGGGGAGGACTACCGAACCGGACCTGACGCCGCAGACGAGGGAGGGGCGGGGCCGCCGGGATCCGGGGTCTGTCTGCACCCGCCCGCCTCTTGGAGTGCGGGTAACTCCGCCGCAGGACGCCTGGCGAGGAACAACTGCAGTTATTTTGGTCAGGCATCCCGGCGGGAGGCCTCACACCCGTTCACTCCTTTAAAAAATCCCCATCGCCTTTATGGCGGGGCAACGTTATCCCCGTTTCACGGGAGAAAACAGGTGGGGTAGGCGCCAAAGGCGTATCTATTTGACTCCAAAAATGAGTGCTCTAACCAGAAATAACACGGGCCACCGTTTACAGAACGTCTTCCTACCAGTCAGGGTGGCGACCCCCTGAGGCGGGTACCGCTATGTGTCCCCTTCACAGGTGAGAAAACCGAGGCCGGCAGAGGCCAAATGACTTGCCCAGAGTCACCAAGCCAGTAGATGACAGGGCTTCGATTTGAACCCAGCCAGGCTGGCTCTAGAATCCCTGCTTTTAACCTCTATACTAACTCTATCCAGTAAAAACAAAATGTAAGCCACACATGTAATTATAAATATCAGCAAATAAAACCAGACATGGATCCTTGTCCATGTGGAACTTTTAGATGATGAACAGAAGACATAATAAGCAAATTATAGAGTGTTGGGCAAATAATTAAAAATAAAAATCTCCTGCCAACCCCGGAAAACCTCTCTGTAAACAGGAAAGAATGAAGCCGTTTTATTATTAAAGCATTAAACCACACGACAATGCACATGGGCCGTGATGAACAAGAGACATGACATGTAAATTACATAGTGCGTTAGAAGGTAATTGATGCTATGGAGGAATAGACTAGGAAGGGGAATAGGGCACAAGCAGTCTGGGTGGGAGACCTTAATTCTGAAAGATAGATTGACTATTACACTAGCCTATTTCTTTTCAACACATACGTTTTCAACGAACTTTTGACGTTTTCAAACCTGTGCAAAAGTGGAACGGTGTAAGGAGCACCCAGGTCCACGATTACCTCCTGGCCAGTCGGGTTTCATCCCCTCTCCCACCCACTTGCTCCCCGCTAAAAATTTGAAGCAAATCTTAGATATTACACCCTTCTGTCCATAACGAAAATTATTTTTTTCACATAATAGGTCAGCTGTGGAAATCTTTTTGATAATGAGGTTATGAAAATTGGTTATGATCCAAGTATATGAGTTCAAAAAAGTTTTTTTTTTTTAAGGTTAAAAAAGTTTAAGGGGCGCCTGGGTGGCTCAGTCCGTTAAGCGTCTGCCTCAGGCTCGGGTCATGATCCCAGGGTCCCATGATCGTGATGGTGATGGTGATGGTGATGGTGATGGTGATCGAGCCCCCGAGGGGAGTCTGCCTCTCTCTCTGCCCCTCCCTCCTGCTCGGCTCTCCCTGGCTCTCTCTCTTTCTCAAATAAATAAATAAAAATCTTTAAAACAAACAAATATAAATGGGGTCAAGAAGTGCCTACCACCTAGAAGGTGATGAACAGAATAATGGCTCCCAGGAGGGGGGTGGTGTGCCAAGCACCCTAGGGGTCCTTTGGGAAGGTTATGGGGGCATTTTGGTGCCATGGGAATGGGGAGAGGGTGTCCCTGGGAAGCCATGCACAAGACAATGCCACTCAGTAGAGAACTGTCCTGGATTCCTTTCTTCTCATAATTGGTGTCCTGTGCATTCTCGTGTAGGAGGAAGAAAGCCTGTTAATCTGAGCCTAGAACCCAATTCCATTCTGCATGTCAATGTAAAGTGGGTTAACACGGAATTGTCCAGGGGATGCAGCTACTGGGTCAACTGGAAGATTGTGCTTGGCTTGGTGGGGACTTGACTGGTTTATTCTCCAATGCACAAAACCAGAAAATCTCTTCATCTAGGCAGTGCCCGCTGTGGGTTTTATGGAGCTCCAGGGAGCCTACAGGGAGGGAGGAGTATCCTGGGGCTACATCAAACTCCCCAGGGAGATTTTTTTAAAAAACGCGGATTCTGAATCATCAGGTCTGCCCGGGGAACAAGTTCCCAGGGGATTTTGAAAATTATGTCTCTCCTTTTATCTCACCTTTATGTTATAGTTAGGGTTATTTTATGAACATTTTAAGAATTATCTGTGGAAGTAGGTTTAATCATCTAAGTATTTCATTTCAAAAGAGTAAAGGTGGCTTGAGAAATTATTTGCCATAAATTGGGGAGGTGGCTCTGGTGGGGATGGGGTGGGTTGGGCTCCCCTGTTGCGGGGCGTACTGGTGCTTCTCTCCACTGGAGGTGTGTTTGGGAGGTTGGGTGGGGGGCTACCTGCCTGGCCAGTTTGCAGAAGTAGAAACTCTGGAACATTGAGGTGTTGGGAGGTAGGCTGTATGATTAATTCCAAGGGCATTAAAGGGTCACCAGCTTGGTTTCCGTGCCCCTACCTCTCCTGTCCAGAGGCCACTGGCTGTATTTTGATCCCCGGAAAAGAAACTTGACAGCGAATAGGCCCTTTGTATGGAGGGAAGGTCGGAGGGAGCAGGTAACTAGTTAAACCTTGCTCTCAGAAGGGTGGGGATGTATCTGGACAGAAGCCTACTCCCAGAGGCAGTTGGGGATAATCCAGCCCTTTCTTAAAGTGTGAATCAGCCCTCCCTGGAATGCCTATTTTTCCTAGGGCAGGGGAGAAGCTGGGGTGTCAGCGTAAACCCTCCAGGCTCTCCCCGCAACCCAGCTTCTGGGGGGGTCAACAATGCATCCAGTAATAAACAAAAGAGCCATAGAACCCACAGACCTTTGCCTACAAGAAGTAACTCCTCCAACTGAAGCCACAGATATAATCAAAACCTTAAGAAAAGTTGGACCGGGGCCAGTTTTCAGGGTTAAACACACCAACAAAATAAAAGGCTTTAAGAATCAAAACACCAGGCTACCTGGGTGGGAGATACGCCTAGCAGCCTTTGAAAAGAAATAGGGTCAGGCAAGCAAGGGGTGCGTGCATGCGTGTGTGTGTGTGTGTGTGTGTGTGTGTGTATGTGTGTGTTGTGGGGGGGAACTGAAGGGAGAGCAGTGGGTTGGGAGGGTCTGAAGGGAGTGGGGAAGGTGAGGGCCAGGAGGGGCTGCCTCCACCCAGAAGAATCCACCCTCCACCCTGTCTGCAGCCCGCGGGACTGTCTAGCCGGAATATCCAAAATGACAGATCAAATGAACATTCAAGTATGACAATGGTATTGTGGTTTTGCTAAAAAGGGGAGAGAGAGAGAGAATCGTATCTTTTAGAGATACACCCTGCAAGTATTTTTGGAGGAAATGCTAAGGATGTCTGGGATTGCTTTAAAATAATCCAGTGGGGGCACCTGGCTGGAGACTCAGTCGGTGGAGCGTGCAACTCTTGATCTCGGGGTTGTGAATTTGAGCCCCACGTTGGGTGTAGAGATTACCGAAAAAAGAAATCTTAAAAAAAAAATGAAATAAGATAATCCAGTGGGGGCAGGGAGGCTGGGTGGAAGTGTAGATTTAAAAAAAGATCGACCACAAATTGCACTAACCTCAATCATCAGGGAAAAACAGATTAAAACCAGTAACGCCCACTAGAATGATGAAAATACAAAAAACTCGAGACAGAAAACCAGTGTGGGAATGTGAAGCAATTGACTGGAACCTGTCCACGGCCTGTGGAGGTAGGGGCTACCGTGTTGGAAAATGGTTTGACAGTACCTACTAGAACTGAACGTGTACCAGTCACAGAAAGACAAAAACTGTAGGATTCCCCTCTTATGAGGTACCTAGTACCTAGTAGAATGGTGGGCACCAGGGGACAGGGACTGGGGGGCAGGAATGAGGAGTTATTGAGTACAGAGTTTCAGCCTTGCAAGAGGGAAAGAGTTCTGGAAGTTGGTTGCACAACGATGTAATTGCACTTGACATCAAGGGACTGTATACTGAAAACTGGTTAAGATGGTAAATTTCAGGGGGCGCCTGGGTGGCTCAGTTGGTTAAGCATCTGCCTTTAGCTCAGGTCATGATCCCAGGGTCCTGGGATCGAGTCCCGCATCGGGCTCCCTGCTCCGCGGGAAGCCTGCCTCTCCCTTTCCCCCCTGCTCCTGCTCTCCCTCTCTCTCTCTCTCTCTCGCTCACATTCTCTCTTTCTCAAATAAAATAAATACAAATTTTTTTAAAAGATGGTAAGTTTGACATTTTACTGCGATTCAGAGTTTTTTGCATGGAAAAATATTAAGATTCCATTTACAAAAGCAATGGAAACCTCGAGGTGGCTCCAAATAAATCCAACAAAAGATACGCAATACTTTATGCAAAAGTTTGTGAAACTTTATTAAAGGGCGTTAAGTAAAAGTTAACTAGTGACACACAAAAGAGCAAAGATTCTACACATCGCCATATGGACAAATCCAAAAGCACGTCCTCGGGGCACACATGACATTGTAG